TGCTCTCTTGAACCCTCACCCAGGACCCATGTCCGAACAATCAAATAAGCAAGCAAGCATTCATCAACAAATGAAAGAGATTGAACATCTCAGCATATATTACAAGGGATGTTGGACACTCATATTGCAGGATATTGCCTTTGAATAGCCAGTCCCCAAGTTAAATAAGATACTCTATGGTATTTACATTACTGTAAATACATACATAAATCATCACTGCCATTAGAAAAATCACTCAAACTAATTTATGTATAAACTGATATTAATCTCTGCATTCCATTTTGCATGTGCTAAAAATAATCTATACACAAACTAGATATTTATTCAAGAAATAATAAAAAGTGACAGAGAAGCATAAATCATAGAGATGCAAAAGAAGACTAACGACCTTTAACCATATTTTTTTAAGTCATGTTGAATAATGACTATTAAAAAGTCCTCTAGTTTTGCATAAGTAACTAGAGGAAAATAGTAAAATATGGTCCGCAGACATTTTGACCTAAGTCATCTAAATATGACAAAAAGGGGGACATGTGTGATATTTCTTTTTTTTTTTTTACACTTTTATCATCCAGATAATTTTCTTACCTTTGGCTTTATGTTCCTATGATTTCAAATCCTGACTTATTAAGATTGCAAGGAACGATTCTTAAATGTGCTACCACACAAGCCAAACTGATCAAATGGGAACATATCAGGTCACCAGGTGTGGGCTGAATTATTCAGATAATCATGCCATTGCAGCTTATCAAAATGGTGCCCTTGACTTCTTTACATTTTTCTACAAGATATAATGCAATGGTTCCCAAAAGTCTCATGCTTTGTTGCAAGGCCAGTTTAAAACAAATGATTGACAAACAGCATAAATAAAAGCAAAACAGTTGTCTGGAAGAAATATAACATTGACTTATACAATAGCAGCTTAAATAGACAGAGGACACTGGTGTTGGAAAAGACTTGTTCATACACAGACTCCAAAAGCTTAGACCCCAGAGAGTCTAGCTGGTGGTCTCTTGCTGTTGGTTCATAGATTATACCTGGAATATCACTGACCTAGAATTCTGACAATCACAGGAGTGAAAGTCATTCTTCTCACTGTAGTTTCTGTGCTGGCACTAAATAAACTACATCTTCTATTGATGGAAAAGAGCATACATATTTCCCATTATTTGCCCATGATCCTGTATGTCACTTGATAAATTAAAAAATTGATGAAATCTCAAATATTTAAAATGTCTTTCAAATTAACAACACAAATGCTTTTCTGGCCTTAGGCCACATATGTTTATTCCACATCCATGCTCTTTGGAAACTTTATCCAAATGATTGTTGAAATTGTTTATTGGAGAACTAGGGCAACCATATCTGCCCTGTATCTCTTGAGTGTGAACAGCTTTGTTTTGTAGTGTCAGTAGCTAAAATAGACCAGACATTACCATCAGCTGTTGGGTCATTGTGCTTTTTAGTGGAATTACAGCATGTTACAGTATTTTTCTTTGCAGCTTAAACATTGAGCAAACCCAGACATCCGGAGATGCTAAAATGAAAAATCTGTTTCCTCTCGCTTTGCCATTTGCCAAGTGAACTCCATCAGACAGAACATTCTATACATTTCAAGGAAATGAAATTACCTTTAATGTGTTGGCAACATCTGTCACAAAACACTGTTCAGTCTATGGCTCAAATGCATTGGATAGGAATGGATTTGACAGTTTATTAAATGAAGCATGGTTACGGTTGAGGGCACTAGATTTACCTTAACAGCCATAAGGGTTTTCTTTTCCTCTTTTGTTCTTTTTTCTTTCTTTTTCTCTTCTTTTTTAATATTCTGTATAATACAAAGGTGGTTCTGTAATCTTTGATGAGAAAACAAAACAAAATGATGGAAGACTCAATCTTTTGTACAGATAGCTTACATGTTATTTTTTTTCTTTATTGCAATAACATTGGTTTACAACACTGTATGTAATTTAGGTGAATAGGTCCACACCTCCTCAGATGTATGTATGTTAACACCCCATCCCCATCATCAAAACACCATGAGTGCTTTATCCTAAGCCACTGGACCTCCTTCTCCTTTGTTCTCATCCCCTTCATTATGGAGTCATTATTCTAGGGTTCATTTGAGGGTAAGCTACATTTTTAACTCTCTAGTTACCTGCCCCTAAAAAAAAAAAAATCAAGAAAACTTGTTTCTCCAAGTTGTTCCAGTCCAATATTTTTAACTTACAATTGTATATTTCCCTATCCTTTGAGACTATTCAAGAATCTATGTAATTAAAATTTAGTTTATATTGTGTGTTCACTGCATATTTTTTACTGAATATGGACAAGAACGTATGTTCTTACAAGCCTTCCCCCAAGAATCAGTGTTTCATTGTTCATTTATTTTCAATAACTGATCTGGTCAGGAAAGGAATGCTTTCCTTGTGTTGTCTTCCTCTCTGTGCTTACTGTTGCTATTTACAATTCCAAATGATGACAAGTCACTTCTCTCTCTTCCCTTTGATTGTCAGGTTTCTGGTTTCTACACAGAAGCAGCACTCACTGTGTGGCATCTGTAATCAAACTCCCTGAAAGTATTCTCTAAAGAGACCAGCAATTCTTCTTAAATTAATTCCAAATGCAGGCATTCAATCCTTCTATTCTTATCATGCCTGGATTCGATTCATCTGTCACATGCTTGAATATCTCATTTGCATATCATCTTCCAAAGAAAGACAGAAGTCTACCACTTCCACCATTAAGGAATGAGGTCACCCCTTGGGCATTAGGAAGGAGTATCCATACCAAACACATCTTAGTCTTTATCTCTGATTTATGGGACTGAATCTTTATGTGGCTTCAGCAAAATGATTAGAATGGAGGAGTTTCCAAGACTGGATCACAGTTTAGCAGCATGTTGGAATCTCCAGGGGCAAATATTCTAAGAAGATAGGCTGTCTCAATTTCAAGAAGAGTATTGAAGTCTTGCACCTGCTAAGGATTAAAATGTTGTGAAAGTGCCCTTTTGGGGTTGAAAAAAATGCTTCAGGATTTCTGTCTGAACTCTGAAGTTATTCTATAGTTTATCCTAAGAAATTTAAGAAGAACCTGAGTTCTCTTTTTATAAAAGGGAAAACTAAAGATCTTTTGTTAAAGAAGTTTGGGTAGCACAAAGAAAATATGGTGTCTGTGAATTAAGTAAACATTTCTATTTCTCATTCTAGAAGCACCCTGATTTATCATTCAACAATTTACAAAATCATGAGTAAATTCCAATGACATTAATGAATATCATGTATATTTACAAGGCCGATAACATGACATACACATGTTTTCTGGTTGATTCTATCTCAGAAGTTCTAATGTCTTTTTGAACAGGAATGGTTGGTTCTGTTCACAAAGCATTTCCAAATATTTGGTTCAATACCTTTTCTCCCTCCATGTTATTAAAGAGGAACACATAAAGTAGGCTGAGTGACAGGTTGATATGGATGATAACATGAGGAACGAATCATCCTGAGCAAAACTGTTTTAGGAAATATTTGCTCTTGGATAGTTTGGGTGCTGATATCCTGCCATGTGCATGAACCTATCAGAGCTTCATTTTTTCAAAATATTTATTCATATGGAAAAAAGTCACACAGTGAGAAAAATGTTTACAGAAAAAATTAACATCCAGAAACATAAACATTATATTACCGCCTGGGTATTTAAATGAAATTCTCCTTTTTTATTATCATTAAAGTAAAGCTAAAATTATATAATCACAGAGATTATACCCAACCTTAGCTTTTGAAATCAGACAAAAACAAAAACAAAAAATCTGAAGAGTGACAACAAAATGGTGGCTCCCAAAGGGGAAGGGGTATGGGGCAGATAGTGTTGACTGCATAGAGTTGCTGGAAACTTCATGATCTCTGGTGGTGATGTAGTATACAGAGATGCCTAAACATAAAACTGCACACTTGAAACTCAAAAATAATCAAACAAAACAAAAACAAATATTTAGAGTATGAGAATAAAATGGTAATCGGCAGTGAGGAAATGGGTTGGAGGTTAGCTAATCAGGTGATGGGGGTCAATTTTATGGTGGTATATGCAAATTAGAATTTTAGTGGCGATCATAATGTTGCACATACAAATTTCAAGTGATAATGCTGTAAATCTGAGAACCTCACAATGCTATGAACTAAAGTTACTTTAATAAAAATATTTAAAGCTATGTTGGTCCATTTTCTAAGTTGGTGGACAAGAGCATGATTGAATAGGGGAGAAGAAAGGAAAGGGTAATGTGTGACTCCATGCTTCACTAACAATGAGAAGTTTTGAATATGAACTGAGCTTTTAAAAAGGTGGTTTGACCAGCATTTAAAGGAATTCATTCTTCTGTCTTATGTTAAAAATGCAGATAGAAAGAAAGTAGGTCAAAAGATTAGGAGGGGAAGACATAGGAAATAGTTACCATGATACATAGTACAAAAGATACCATTTTTATATAATTTATATTAGCTTTTCATATTTCTTTCAAGGAGTTCCAGTGAGGAAACCTACTTGGGGTGCCATTTTCCCCCCATGGTAGTTTGTATGATCAAAAAAGTAGCCACATAAACTGTGGATAAAGAGAATACACCAAAGGTCATATTAAAAATCAAGGAAATCTAGAAAATGTCCATAGTATTCATGTTTTCCAGTCAGAGAAGTTTGTATTTCGAAACAACGAAAGAGAAAATACATGTGGTATCTTGAAATGCATAGAATGCTGGAATTGCTAATAAAAGGCATTTAAACACATCATAAATAAATCCCATTAAAGGAAAAGAAGTGGCTCATTCTATAAATTAAGACAAATATAAAATGGCATCACTGGATATAAAAATCATACCTAGTTGAACATAGCATTTTCAATAAAAATTGAGCAAAATTAATGTTAACACGGGTTACTCTATTTGTCTGTTTACCTGAAGTTTCCTTCCTTTTGAAACATGTTTTCAGATGGGTGTTGCTTTTGCTTTTAGGGTGCTGTGATTACGCCAACAATGGACCATCCTATGTCAATGCAGCCAGCAAACATGATGGGCCCACTGACACAACAGATGAATCACCTTTCATTGGGCACAACAGGCACGGTGAGTTGCAGAATTTGTTTTATTTTGTTTTTTTTTAATTTCTTCAGACATATGCAGTACTCTCAGTTTTCACTGGCATGATTAGCAAAACTGGTTCTGTACTATTCACCAACACACATCTCAGGTTCCAGTGTGGATAAGCTGAATCCCGCATGCACATTCAATTCAGAGGCACATTTACTCACATCAACATGGCTGGAAATTTTACTGCATTACGTTTAAATTGGAGACACTTGTTCTTAAACCACTTCCACTGGTTTTGGAAAGGTGTCTTATACCTTGTCAAGAATCCTCACCTTGTACCTTGTCACACTTGAGCCGGCTTGTCTCTTCCCAGCTCTTTACCACCTCAGCTCATTCATTATCCCCATGTTCTCAAGTGAGGGCCCAATGTTGACTATGATGAACATGCAGGACTTGTATTTACTTCAGTGTTTAAATCCATCAAAACTTAATAAGATAAATGAGGTTTTTTAAAAAATCTTCCTTTTGAATATGTCCACATAGATGAAGTTGAAAAAAAGGAAAGGGATCTTAACATCCTCGATGTTGGAATAAGCTGGGAAATTTTGATAGCCATTATATTTCCCTAGGAAATAGGAGAGATTGAAAAATGTCCATTGTGGCTTTGATTTTATTTCAAAAGGCACTTGAAATCATTACTAAAATCTTATATATTTTTTTAAATGTCTATTCAAAGGCAATTCCCCAAATGGTTAAGAGGGTGAATGTCTAATGGAAACTGAATACTGTAATTTTGTCAATATCATTATAGATAACACTCAAAAACTTCAAGGCCAACCTCTTCACTGGTAACAGTTTTTGTTTTTCATAAATGTTAATATAAATAATTTTGTTGTTTTTCAAGATGTAGCAAGAAAACTATGTTTTCTTCTGATCAAAGCAGCTCAATGTTATAGAAAGAGAACTGAATTAGGAGCTGGGAATTCTAGATTCAACTCTTGATCCCTGTTATTTATCTCTGTCCTTGGAAACATATTTTCTGACCTCAATTTCCTTCTCTATAAGTTGAAATATTGAATATAATGTTAGTTTTGACCCTCCACTACATGCCTCTTTATTTTCAACCCTATATGTCTCAGATTCACCATTTCCTGATTCTTCATAATTATGCGGCATCATCTCTGAACCTTTAATATACACTCGGCACACCAACAAACATTGAAAATTATACGTTAAAGCAATGGTTTGCTTACCACATAGCTGTATTGACTCACGGGTTTTGGGGAGTATAAAAAATTTCTGATAAGTCCACTATACTTTCATGGAAAGAGTCACATTGTCTCAATACAGAACAGTAGTTTATGAACATAAAGAAAGTGCCTGTCTTTAAGACTCCAGTTGCTGAATCTACAGAAAGAAGTTGATGAAGCCTTACCTGTCAGAATGCTTGGACTGGATCAAATGCTTTCATAGATCTCTGACTTTTAAAAAGTCATGTTTAAGGCTGTATTTTATTTTCTACTACAGCGCAGCTCGTTTTCATCAGTTTGAAGATACTATTCCTATAGCTTTTAGCAATGTATAGGGAGTATTTGTAGATACCAAGAACAGTGTTGGGAGACCAAAATTTCTCATGTTTTAACTACTGAGTTTTCTTCCTATCAGCCTTGCTCTCCTTACATGATCATAAATTCTGAGTGAGTGAAGTAATGTAATTTTGCTGAAATGAATGACAATCTGAAGTATGATAAAAGTAGGAGTTATAATAAAAGCATACAAAGAAAGACTATTAAACCTATTCATTTGAATCAAAAGCAAAGCCAGATGACTTGCTTTAAGTTCAGGTTTGCAAGCTAGGAAAATTAAAAGAGCTAGGCTAACTATGAATATGACTGAATCCTTTAGGAAACTGAAAAATCACTTAAAATATGTATAGAACAAACTCCTATTTGTAATAGTCATTGATTCAATACTAAATCATGATTATGGGCATATAAAATATAAACTTGAGTATTTTCTACAAGAACATATTTAGACAAGACTACCATTTATAACCAGTTGGTAGTAGTCAAATTATTTAATAATGAATAATTATATATATATAAGAATATGTATAAGAATAATCCCTTTCTTAGAAAAAAGATTTTAGCCTGTGGCTTACTTTTCACACCACATTTTCTCTAGTTTTTTTGAAATTCTTTTCTCCCTTACCTTTGTGATAAATACTTAGTGACATTATATGTTTTGTATAAATGGATATTATGTCAAGACTTAAATTCTATAAGGTTCTGGAAAGACAGAAAATAGAATTACCTTGTTCATATACTCAACGATATACACCTAAGTATATTTGGTGTCCAGAATACTATTATACTATTTGTCTTAAATTGTCACTCTGACGTTTTGATAGGCCATTATGGATTCATTTTATCTGATATTCTAATTGGTATTTGGAGTGGCTATTATGCTATTAAGGTTGTTTATTTTAAGCAAATCAAAATTCCCCACCTTATTGCCCCACTTTATTCACTGCTCTGAAGGTGATCTGGTGTCAGAACCATGGACCTTGGAGTCAAACTTGAGCTCAAAGCCTGGCTCTGCCCCTTATTAACTATGCACTTGTAGGCAGGTTCTTTTACTTCCCTGGACTTTAATTTCCTCTTTTCAAAGTAGGAAAAATAATCTTTATATCTTGGGATTGTTGTGAGTGTTAAGTGAGGTGATACACGCATACTCACACAAACATGTACACATTTATATATGACATAGCAAATAGAGTGTGCGACACCCAGTAAGTGCTAATCAAACACGCCACCCTTGTCTCTCTCTCTCTCCCATGGCTTCTAACAGGTGAGACTCTAGATCGCCAGAAGGAATGTAGGACCCTGTCAAGTCCACAGCATAACTTACTGCCTTCCTCTGTTTCATCTGACATAAATTAATTCTTTCAAGTGTCCATTTCCTTGTGTTAGCTTCTAACATAGCCTCCCAGAGTTGTAAACCCACAAGTCCATAGAGACCACACAAGTCACAGCAATGAATAGCACTGACTGAAGTTCAAGCAAAAATCCTGTAAATATATAACCAATTTGGTTGTATTCACCTCTGCCACAGTCATGCAATATAGACATGATATTGGAAATTATATTTTTAATTAGAGGTAGTGGTAATGTGATCATAATAACATCTCTGAATGTCGGGTGACAGTGGGAAGAGGTGGTGCTTTGTTCTGAAACTGGGGTGCCAAATGCATACAGTTAGGGATGCAGACCAGGGTGGCCTCACCGCCCCGTTTTTCAAGATAAGCTAAATTGGGGCATTTTAATGTAAAATTTCCCTGAAAATGAACTCTGGGCCCAGTTTGTCCTATGAACTCTTAGTTCATGACTTGCCCAAGATTGTCCTGATTCTGAATTGACCTCTCTGGCCCATTACTTCTTCTCTTCTTTCACAGACTGTTAAGCCAGGGCTCCATTTTTTTTGTTTATTTGTTTTAAGTTTTCATTCATACATGATTTCCTTAAGCAATCTCATCTACTTTCATGTGTTGAACTCTGCTGAACACTCCTAAACTTGACTTCTCAACGCTAACCTCATCTTAGAAGTTTAGACTCATTTGTTTGACTACTTAGTTAATGTTTCCATGTGCATCTCCTCAAACATCTCAAAATCAGCATGTTACAAACTAATCTCATGTGCTTCTTCTACACTGGACCCCCTTCCTCTTCTGTGCCCCTGCCCTCATTTCCTTTCAAGTTAATCCCATGACATTCACCCAGTAGTCAAAAGCCACCCCATCATTCAACCTAGAGTCTTTCTCCCTCATTACCGTATACAATTGCTTTTCAAGTACAACTAGTTTTCTTGGATATTTGTCCACTACAACTCTTTCTAGAGTCTCATTTGATAAATTGTAATATTCTTCCCCACTAACCATCCTGTTTCCACTTGTAGCTGCTTTCCATTTGTTCTACCATGTTGCTATAGCAACCAATCTAACATCATCTGACAGTGTCTGTCTTCTGCCTATCACCTTTCAGAGACTTTTGGATATTTGAGCACCCAGAAATTCTGCAAAACAAGGTGTGAGCAGTGACAAATCAGGATTAAGTTCAGAACCTCAACTCCAGAAACAGATTCCGAGGGTAGATCAGAAAGAGATCCATTGAATAATCCAAGGTTGATGGGAATAGAAACTACATTAGATTTCTCCATGTTTAGAAGGGGGACATAAGACCATAGTCCCTGCCTCACTTTTCCTTTTATGACCCTTGGGGACAAAGGAAATTGTCAAGCCCTTTTTCCTCTCCATGAAATTAAATATATTTTGTTCCCAGTAACCCCAAGTTTTGAAATGGATGTGATGTAGTTTAATTAACCTTTCTCTACCATCTGCCACTTCAAATGTTTATTGTTGAATTCTCTACCTATTTTTAAGCTATACAGAATCTCCAGACCTTAAAAGAAATGAATTGTATGCAAGCAGTGTAATTTCATTTTTTTATTCCAGGGCTCTGCTGACCTTGAAGAATTTTCTAGCTTTTGTTTATTTTTTTGTCACAAGAGTCCCTCAATAGAATCAAAGTCCTGTTATCCATAATTTCTTATCACTTATTGTAAGCTTTAGCAGAAACCACTGGGGATTTTACTCTGTTATGAGAACCTCCAAATTGCATGACAATCTTGTTTTACAAGTTTCTTATCTCTTTTTCATTTGTTCAGTTGGTAGCCACCAGTGACTTACAATGTCACCAGAATCTGTTGAAAGGAATAAAAAGTTTTTGTTCTGCAGGCTCCTTATCTGCAGCTCTGTTTATGTTCTCCAGACCACTGGTGATCTGTGACATCACTGGATTCCCATGGTGTAACCCTAGCCACTCACAAAGGCAATCTTGTAATTGTACCCCGTTTGTTCACCATAGTTCTCAAACATTTTCAGTCACACTGTGTCTCCTTTATTGTGCTAAAATTCTGATGGTATCAGGTGAAAACCCTGAATTATTCATGTTGTTGGAGATTGTTCTTTTCCCATTATTAAGTATGAATGTAAATTTTAAGTTTGAGAGTGATAAAAAGCAACACATGATGATGAATGGACTCATGATTAGAAGACAGTGTCACTAATTTGTAAATGGTAAATGAGTAAATCTCCTTAAAGGGTTTTTCCAGGAAAGCTACCAATTAGTTAATAATAGTCAAAACCAAGAGAAACAGATAAAAGGAAATAGTTGTAAAAATGTTGTTGAGTCTTATTTTAAGATAAATGAACTCTAAAGGTAACATAAACAATAGATAAGTCAACATTGAGTTAAAGATAAGCATTGTGAAATAATTTATTCTGAGTTCAAATAAATTGCCAACATAATACAAAAGGCCCAGTTATGTAAAATGTCAGGAACCATTGATAGTCGATAAAAGAAATAGAATGCCAAAGAACATATGAAAAAGCAGTAATCAAAAACATTATAATTTAATAAAATATACAAACACCTAAATAAAATTAGTAAAATAGCACACATGAGCTTGCAGGCAAGTAAACATTACCTTTCACTGATTATGTAACAGTAGGAATCTAAGTTGATAAAAGCATCAAAAAGTTAGTGAGGTGATACCCTTCCCAATAGCTATATTGACTGACCTACCTTCAAAAAGCTAGTCCATAAAAGTATTTTAAAATTCCAGAAACAAAAACATTTATACCTCAAAAAATGTTTGTCCTAGTATTCTTTATAATTCTAAAAAAGTATAATGATTAAATAAGTCATCATCCACTCATAAGCCAGAATGTAACACAGCATGACATTATATTATGATTTTAAAATAATTAAGAAAAGGGTTATTCATCATATTATATCAAAGGAACAGAATGTAACTTTTCATGTGTGGAGTATAGTATCAACTATGAAAAAACATATGAATGAACCTGTTAGAATTATAAAACAAGTATGGTTATTTCTGGGTGATAGAATTAAGAATAACTTGTAATTTAAGCATAAATTTAAATTTATGCTTTTCTACATTCTCCAAATATTCAAAAATAGGCGTGATTTACTATTGTTATTTAAGATGTTATGTATAAATATACATATATATTTCCTAGGAAAATGACTTCTGGCATGGTCCTAAAATTAACTATTTTTTTTTGTTTTAATGATAATATAATGTGTGACTGTAGTTTTTAAAAAGGTTTTAGGAATTACTACATTATTAATAAAACGTTCAGAGACCCTTTAAAAATTAATCATCTCATTCTAGTTTGGGGATTACACCCAATTCACTAGTTCATATACCTGTTGTGAGAAACAAAGCAGCTCATGCTTATGGTTTATTTGCATTTGAATCTTTGATCAGTGTTTGCTTCTGCAGGTCAAAGAGCCTTGCAATGTCCAAGTTTTTATTCGTCTTCTCATATGCCATTTACCCATGATTAATATTGTCCTTTGTGTCAAGAAGATGAAATGGAGATGTTTGTAGTGGGCCAAATTTAGCTGTCAAGTAGGTAGAAAAGAAAAGTTTGAGGTTTTAGATTTTAGTTTTTAAAATGGATTAATGGTCATATGAATGGAATAAGGGTCATGACAGAGCATCTAGTTAACCATGTTTGGATGATTTATTTGAATGTGAAAAAATATTTGGCCACTTTTACAGTTTATCCCTCCAAGGGAAGCTTGGGTTACATGGCAGCTTCCCATTATTAGAAGTGGGACCTTAAGCCACAAGCCATGCCCCACTTTCCTTTTAAAATACCTGGCTTAAGGAATTGTAGTAAGTCAAAGACTTTAATCTTTAAAAGACAAATTTATCTGGTTCTATGTAGATCTTATAAAACCCCCAATTTTGGAATGGGCACTGTATAGTTTCTCTAGCATTCCCCACTTCCGATGCTATCACACTTCAAAAAATGACAACCATCTCATCTGTTGAACAGATTCTGTATATTTCTGCTCTCTCAATTCCAGTGCACAAAGTCCTCAGCCTTCAGACACAACCACAGGGATCAGAGCCACAGCTGAGGGATTAATACAGAAACTCTAGCTTCCAAGTGCATTATGAGAATATGCAAATATTTCTGTTACCTCTTTAAAAATTTTAGTTCTTTCTTTTGTTCTTCAGGTCTTTGTTTGATAACTATACTCTGGGCCCCTTCCAGATGGGCTGCTTTGTAGAATTTTTGTGTCAGTTAGAGAGGGTAAAAAGTTCACATTGATTCCCAAAGGGAATGGCCAAATTTATGACAGAGGAAGATAACAATGTTCTGGGACAGACCGAACTGTCCCAGCAGGTCACATGGGGTTGAACAACATGGACAGTGGGTGGGAATGGGCACCATTGTATCAATTGTAAAGTATGGGTCCCAGTGCCTTGTTTGATGGAGGCCTAGGAGACCTTATGATATGCAGTGGGTACTTCCACATGTTAGAACTAAGATTCTATTTTATTTTCTTTTGTACTTCATTGCATTCTTTCTCATGCTCTTTTCATTCAAAGATTCAGTCCCAAGACAGGATTATGATACTCCACCAGCTGTTGTGTCAGGTAGGAAAATTCTAATTCCTTTAAGATTTGATTGGAGGGGAGAGATGGAGGTTGCCTGGTTTTCTCCAAAACTCTTTAAAGCAGTGATTCTCAACAGGGATGGGGGAAGGGAATTGGAATTTCAGTTGCTGGGTAAGGGAGGATCAGATGGATGAAAGTAAGAAAAGTATATTTTAATATTGCAATTCAGTTTTATGTATAAAATAAACAAATACATTGCTTTTGAAATATAAAAGGAAAAACTCGAAGACATTTTATCTGTGAAGGATACGCAGAAAATAGAGTCTATGTTCTGTGTATCAGGATGCTCAGTGTCAGAGAGGTTCTTCAGAATTTCTGGGAAGTGGAGAAGGATAATTATGTTTATCTATGGAGGACACAGATTAAGAAAAAATAGTTTGAGAAGCACTGCTTTAGAGACCAAATTTCTTCTACAATCAGAAAATCATCCCATTTTGCTTGCTTAGCACCCAGCATAGTGTCTCAACATAGTAGGTGCTCAACAAATTGTTTGCTGAATGAATCCAAAACTTCAGATTTGCTCCAAAAGTGGTATTTTGGATATTGAAATTGAAGCTCTCTATGTTCCACTTGTACAACAAAGTGGCAGAGGTGATTTAAGAATACATTAGTGTCTTGAGGATTTTAAATTGTGATATTTGTCTTATAAATTTTAGTGCTGCAGTCTGTAATAGGGGATATGAATGTGAAAAGGTGACTTTTGAGCTGCACAGATTTTGTGCTTTCATCTTAATTTTGAATTTTGGTTTCTTGCGAAGAGAAAATTTGGCATGATATATTTACATTTTTTTTATTTTTTGTTGATTTCTTAAACTAAATAAACTATTGGCAGCCTAAAGAGCTTTGGACTCTTTGATCTTTGAAATGTCAGAATATGAGGACATAAAATCCAAACCCAGAAGGGCATTGGAGAAACAGCAAGGGATAAAGGCCAGAAATAGAATGAAAGAGCCTGTGGCACAGGAGAGTCTGGCAACTGGATGGTGACTTTCAAGCTCAGAACAATATGTTCTTGGCCACCCCATTTGCTTAATCCAGTATCTAAAGGGTAATCCTTTTGTCATGTCTTGCGGATTTGTTTAGTTATGTTCATGAGGTCTTAGAAGTTCAACTGAGAAACAATGAGTTAGTCTTCAGAAGTGAAGTCACATTGGTTTTCACAGAGTTCTATAAATTACCATTAATTAAAATATCTATTGCTTCTATAAATTTCCAAGTTCTATAAATTACCATTCATTAAAATATTGCTTCTCTTCCCCCAAAGAGTATGACTTGTCTCATCTTAACTTGTCTGTTTCATTCAGAATATGGGACCCTCCCCCAGAAGGACACTTACTTTGTTTGACATATGGCATCTTTGTTCAAGAAAAGGTGTCTACTCAATAATTCAATAAGGTCCTAGGGGTGCATTGCTCCTTAGAAACCTGAGATCAAATTAGCAAGTTAGATATAAATAGGTTATTATAACATAGTGCCATATGTGCTTCCATATGAACAAATATATGATGTTTAAGTTTGTAAACTCTTCAATCAGATGCCTGCATAAAAATTTGTGTCACTTATTAGTTGTGACTTGGGAAAATTACTTCTCTCTAGCTTAGCTTACTTCTCGGGGAAAATAATAATTAGCTCACTGAGTTGTGAGCATTAGATGTGTTAAAACATACAACCAAATTAGAATAGATTCTGGCATAAAATAAGGGTGCAAGTGTTGTTAGCAACAACTATTCTAGCCATCATTGTTACAAGATGCTGTGGTAGTACAAGGATAGAACAATGAACTTACAATAGAAGTCAGAAAAGTGTAAGAAATCTCAAACAGAGACATCAGGACACAGGGGAATTAACAAAGTGAAAAATAAGTTGGAGGAGGAGAGTTTCAGACAATGAAAGATCGCTAGCAGAGCAGGGCAAATTCAAGGATTTGGTTCAACATATGGTTCAACAGGGCAGGAAACCATCTAGAGATTATGAATAGAAACAGTGCACCTGGAGAAGTAAGCTGTAGCAATATTACCAGATGCAATACCTTGAACTTGATCCCAGTGGCACTAGATATTCACTAAAAGATTTTAAGTTGGAGAATGACATGATCGCTCTGGATAGAGAGAGAGAGACAAAACTAGAAAAAAAGGGGACCAGAAATCAAGAACTCAAGAACCCAAGCACAAAATCAAAGAGGTATGTGTTCCAGTTGTTGGAGATGATAATGGAGAATTGACAAATTTGTGACATATTAAGGAGACAGAATATACAGGGCTTGGTAATGAATTGGATGTCAAGACAGAATGAGAGAAAAGAGTTAAAGGTTGTTCTTAAGTTCCTAACGACTCTGGCTTGAGGAGTCACTTGCTGGGATCTAAATGAAGAAGGAGCATCAAATTAGGCAGGAAAGAGGCTGAAATTAAGAAAATCAAGCAATATGAACACTTTAAGTGCTACTTCAGTGGGGATATTTGTGTATATCTGGACTTTGTTTTGTTTTATTTATTTGGCTTTTGCTATTAGTTAGACATGGTCTAATTATCAGAAAGAACAACCCCAATATAGGGGATCACCACTAGAATGTATTTCTGGAGATTGTTTCAGAGACTTCTCAGAATTTTTAAAAAGAAAGTTCTCTTCAGAACATGTGGATTTTGAGAATTAAATGCAAGAAAATGTATCAAAGCAGTGTTTTTTAAGGTGTGATTTGTGTATCACCATAACACTTAAAGTGGTTTTATAAGTATAGTGACCCACACTATTTATTCAGCAGCTACAGAGGTACATTGCTGTGAATGGGAATAACCAGGAATCAGTTCATCAAACACATGACTCAAGAGTTACTTTGCTTAGGAAAAGTCTCAACTAATTAGCAAAAAGGTAAATACACTTAAAAAGTAATAATACCAAGGGAAAATAGATCTAAGGTTAGAAGAGTGATACCAAAAGAAAGTGGCTAAATTGGGAAATGAGAGACTCTGATTTATTTCACTGGAGTCACCCCTCCTTGTCAAAGTCTCTGTTGTACCTCATCTAGAACATTTCAAGGACAGGCCTGAAGTCAGAATTATCCTCTCTATTGTCAGGGTCAGGCTTCCAGCCAGGGAGTTATGCTCTAAGAATGAAGTCTCTTGCAGGTTTCATGCCAAAAGACTAAGGCAAACTAATTGTTGAAATAGTATGCAAATTTTCCTCTTTGCTTTCTGTTTGCACTGGTAAACCTCATTAATTAAGAATTGATGATATGCTACCAAAGATTTGGTTGATGTTTATCTCTATACTGCTTCTTCTTAGAGTGGAAATTACTTAATAAAACAATCCCATGTTGTTGGAGGGCAGAGGACAGTGTTAAATCTATTTCTAAGAACAAAACCACTTTTCAAACTCTAAACAGAATTTGTTTTCATAGATACCATGAGCTAATTATAAATTATTTCCATCTCTTAATTAAAAGTTAGGTCCATTAGTACCTTCAATTAGCAACGATTAGCCATTAAATTGCATTTACTGTAAAAGATCTGACACAGAGTTGTAAGTGTTCCCATAAGCCACATACGGAATCAGTTTCAATTCTTTGCTTGAATACTGTGCAACTACTTTGATACAAAACTACAATTGTTTAAATGTACTAATGAATTGATTTTTATTTTCAATAAGTTCTAATAAGGGAGATTTTGTTTCACTTATTCATTCATTTAACCAATATGTACTAAGCTCCCATAATGCTACAAGGAACCATAGTGAGATGAGAGAGAATTGAAGATGTCCTTACCTTCAAAGAATGCAGAATCTAACAACAGGAGACAAGGTGATAGGGCCTCCCTGGTGGCTCAGCGGATTGAGCGCAGTGCTGTGAAGCTGTCCGCAGCTTCTGCAGCGCCGGTTCGATTGCCGGCTGGCCAGGGAGAAACCCACATGGCGGGGCAGACTTCTCCTGACTTGTCCACTGCTCCCCTCAGCAGTGTGTTTGGTCCATCTGCCTGTTCTGCTCCCCACTCTGTCTCTGTTGAATTCTCTCACCCTCCTGTACCTCTGACCTGTACTCCAGCTCTTGTATAAATAGTTAAAAAAAAAAAAAGATGGTGAAGACAAGGTGATAAAGAACTCTCACATACAGTGTTTTATGACAGCCTGCCAAATGGGACTTTGCACATCACATTTGTGCAATTATTTGACAAATAGGTATGTGCACGCTGAGTGATTGTGTCCTGCTGGTGCATTTATAATGTTCTATAAATTACAAAAGTGATATCATAAAGAATTTACCTATGGAACTACATTTTATATTGTTCTATTCAAGTAACTGATGACTAAAGGGCACTCCAGCAAGTAGATAGTTGTTCTATATAAACATCACTGTTATTTAGCCCAATTTGGCAGGAGTGGGTGGGGAGGGATAGGAGGGTACAAATTCCTATGCCTTCTGCCAACATGTTTTTTCTGTAAAGGTTCAGATAGTAAATAATTTAGTCTTTGCTGGCCTTAGGGTTTATGTCAGCTCTACTCAACTCTGCCTTCTAGGGAAAGCAGCCATAGAGAGTATGTAAGTGGATAAGCCTATTTTCAAAAGCAGGCAGCAAACTGGATTTGGTCTGTGCACTACAGCATCTCCCTCCCTGCTGGACTCACTTTCTTTTCATAATTATTCCCCATTAAATCTCATTACTGGCAATCTTTATAATAAACATAAAGTGCCTTTTCTTTAAATTCAGCATTTTTATTGTTTTTTTTTTTTTAATTTCATGAAAGGCAAATAGATGAAATATGAGAAAGGCAGAGATTGGAGAGATTGAGACAGAGGTTGAGCAAAACATTTGTTAGTGTTTTAGTGTGGACAGCACAATTGAGTGTAGTACGGAAGTATTACAACACTAAGTATATTTATGTGTTTCATATTCTCGCCCATATATTGGTTTTCTGGGACTTATTTGTATGTACCAGTAATGGGAGATTATCAACCAGGAAAATCAAATATATTCTGCTTAATATCCTCA